AAAAGCTACCTGTGCACACGCCCCTCTCTGCAGAAGTCAATGCAGGATTTAATGTCGGAGGACATTACTGTGAGCTTGGCAGGCTGGATTGCTGCCAAGCCTTATCTGTGTTTATTGCTGCCTGAGTTTCTCTGAGTTGCTGCCAAGGTCCTTATCTGTTTGTTCTGCTTGGCTTTCAGCCACTGAGGTTTTGGGTGTCTTGCTAATTAAAGTACATTCCAGTTAAGCTTGTGTCGGCATTCCTTACTGGACGGAGGAGGGGGTCAGAACAAACCCCCTGGCTGGCCATGCCCACCTCTTCCCTCCCAGGAGTTTCCCCACAGCCCATTCATCATGCCAGGTAAGTGCAGGATCCAAACGGAGGCTCAGGGAAGGGAGGGAAACAGGTCCCCCTACCCAGGGGAAGCAGTTTTTGCCCTCCCAGAAGCACGAGGAAAGCCTCCGAAGCCTGGGGAGGGTAAAAAATGCCTCCCCCCTATGGTGCCACTGACTAGGCCATGCCCTCCATGGCATGCCTACCCAGCTACAATTTTGAAGCCCACCCCTTCCTGCAGGCAAAAAATTCCAATGAGACAGCCCAGGAAGCAAAGCAGTTGTCCAAGTACAGATTTATAAAGATGCCCTAGGAAAGTCTTTGAAGCATCTGTGCAAGACTTTCAGAGGGAATGTGTCTGCCACAGTTCTTCAAGAATATTAGCGCACTTCAGGGTTGGGTTGCTATGCTGTTTTGGCATGCATTTTTTTTGTGCATGTACGCTCACTTAGCTCGCACATGTACACATTTGCATCTAAAAAGGTCTGCACATGCATACAACATTAAAAAAGGGAGAAAAACTTTTTGCAAGTGGGATTTTTTATTACCATCTGGCAGATGATACAGGACAATAAAAACAATGACAAATTGGTTGAAAAACAGCTTCTATCCCAGAGCAGTAATTATATTGAATTCTACTGTGTAGTGCAATATTAATCCAATATCAGGGGTTTTCAACTCAATTGCATAGAATGTGACGGATGCGTGTTTTTGTTTTATTTTTGTAGTTTTGTAAGGGGCTTTTTTGGTAGTTTTCTTATGTATAATGTACACTGAAGATGGTACAATTTAATTGTACGAGGTGCAACCACAATAAAATACTATTGGATCCTGTTTGAGATATATACTGTATTTAGCTGTACAGGAAAGAAAACTTGGCAACCCGAATACAACCTGTAGCCTGCATTTGAAAGGATAAAAGAAATCCTTTCTTTCAGACGTACACAAACATATTCTGTTTCAGATAATCTTCTTTCCAGTTAAATGCTGATCGTTTGGAAAGAAGCCATTGCAACAATATCCCAGGTTGCCCAGTAAATGGGGGTAGGGAGAAAATCTTGAGCAGCCACATGTGAAAACTTCTGAAAACAGTAACGTCGCATACAAAACTAGAATTACATCAAGAATGCTTGTCTCTTATTTTGAGCATGTTATATTTGTCCTATAAAATTCAGAGTTGATTGAAACTGACGGAGATACATCAATGAAGTGTCATGATTGGACATGATGTTATATTTGTCATAAGGCTGTCATGTAAAGGAGGATTCTCACAACCAGTTTACAGGTGGTCAATACATTCTTGGGGCAATTCCTTGTCCAGTAATACATAAGATTTCACTCTGAGTGCATTGTCGGGGTGCTGCAAATGTTCATCTTTGTGCACGTATCCAGGCATCCTTTGCAGCATTTTACTGTTATGTTTGTGTTGAGTTCAGCTCTGGCAGGAGTGAAATTCAGCAGGTTCTGACAGGTTCTGGAACTTTAATAGTTCTGAGA